TATATATATAACTAAATAACTTCTTCCCCCACAGTCCTTGATGGATCAGTACTTCAGTCGTATGCGATCCTTAATGAACAACAAGGATTTGCCAGCGAGAATTCGCTTCCTGCTTCAGAACATGGTGGAACTGCGAGACAACGATTGGGTTCCTCGCAAAGCTTATGTTGACAACGGGCCAAAGACCATCAACCAAGTTCGTCAGGATGCTGTAAAGGTTTGTTTTTATCTATATATCTTTTATTGCAGACCATTATTGCCAAAATGTCTCAGTAATGGTGTACTTGTCTGGTTGTCTTAACGCTCCTCTGGAATCTGATTTTCAGGATTTGGGAGTTTTCATTCCGCCTCCAACTGATGTGATGAAAAATGACTTCTTCATGGGTAACTTCTTGTCAAGGGGGATACCGTTTGACAGGGAACCTGTTGGTGGGCTGGCTGACATGTTTGGACAACTGCCAGGTTTGTTGGAGCATATATATTTTTTTTTTTAAGAAAGTGGTCTTATTACTTAGATGTGATTCAAGGTGTATTTTCTTTTCTTTTTTTTTTACATGGTSTTGTCTTGTTTTCAACAGGGATTGGCATTGGGACCGGTCCAGGAGTGATTCAGGACCATTATTCCCCTACCATGGGGCGTCATCGTGCAAGCCCACTTTTTAACGGCCACATTGGAAATGCGAATGGCTCACATCAGCCTCAGTTTGAAGCCGGGAGCAAACCATTCATAAAACCAAACCAGGTGAAGACACTCTCTTATTTATGTGTTTTTAATAGTTTGTTTTTATGTTTATCAATAATAACCCTCGTAAAAAAAATTTTTAAAGGGGCAGAATTCACCGGTTTTCAGCCATAAGCAGAATCTCTCATCGCAGTCAAAGGATATGGCTCCAAGGTTCAGCAAGAAAGGGAAACTCAATGCTGATGAGGTAAACTTTTGTTTAAAAAAAGTGTTTTTGTTTTGCATGAGTGAGTCAGTTCACATTAATTGAGGGAATTTCTAACATTGTGCCTCTGGATCTTTTTCTGTTTTTTAGATCAGTCTGAGGCCTGCGCAGTCCTTTGTTTTGAATAAAAGCCAAATGCCAAAGCTGCAGCCACAGATGACTATGATTCCTCCAACAGGTCCACCAATAGGACAGGTACTTCTTGTTTAATTAAATAAAACTGTGAGCCGATATCATAGGTGGAAGTTGAACATGTTTGTTTATTTTTATTATTATTGTCTTTGTAGCTTGGTCTCAAAACTAACCCCCCTCCAATCCAAGAAAAACCTGCAAAGTCGATCAAAAAGGCTCCTCCCACAAAAGAAGAGTTGCACAAAATGACAGTAAGTTTTAAAAGATGGTGATTCTTTTTCTATAATGTTGCATGTCTAGGGAGAAAAAAACGTGTGTGGGGTAGTTTGACTGTGTGGAGTTTTCATTTTTTTCTCTTCTTTCCTTATTATAGGAGGCACTGATGACAGACTATCTGAACAGCAAGAACATTGATGAGACCGTTAATGCTGCAAAAGAGATGAAAGTTCCCAAACATCTTTTGTCTGAAATGCTTAACAAGATCATTGTTGATTCGCTCAACCATTCAGATGAGGACAAAGATCATGCAAGCAAACTGATCCACYCACTCTGCACCGAGGGCCTTGTTGCACGTGAAAACCTTATACCGGTGAGTGTCATTTGAAARATGCACTTCAGTAAATGTAAGCATATTTTAACTGTTTAAATATCAATCAGGTAAGCTGCAATTAGCATTGTTTTTTTTTTTTTTTTTGCTTTAAGGCCTTTTTGGGTGTTCTGGATCAGTGCCCTAATATCGAGGAAGAAATCCCTCTGGTGAAGTCTTACCTGGCCCAATTTGCTGCAAGAGCAATTATCGCTGAGCTGGCCACTATTGACGATTTGGCTCATCACCTGGAGAATGGGGCACATTTCCCGCTGTTCCTGCTTTGCCTGCAGCAGATGGTCAAACTGAAGGACCGTGACTGGCTGGGTGACCTGTTCCAACTAAGCAAAGTCAACATGCAGAAGATGCTACCTGGTACGTTCTAGTTTGTTTTTAGTGAACTGTTTCCACAAGGGTACCTTACTCCCTCTGACTGATTCATGTGTTGTTGAGCAGAGGTTGACCAGAACAAGGACCGCATGTTGGAGATTCTGGAGGGCAAGGGTCTGGGCTTCTTGTTTCCGCTGATGAAACTGGAAAAGGAGTTGCTGAAGCAGATCAAAGTTGATCCCTCCCCACAGTCCATCTACAAATGGATCAAAGACAACATCTCTCCAAAACTGCACACTGACAAAGGCTTTATCAACATTCTTGTGACCAGGTACGGCAAATCAGTGTTTCGAAACAGCTTTGATCTGACGCACAGTGGCGCATTTGATTTATGTTCCCGTCTGTTTTCCTCGACATCCAGCTTCCTGCAGTACATTGCCTATGAGATCAACCCCGAGGATGACGAAGAGCAGTTTGCATCTCCCAGTAAAGAGCAGATGGATGAAGAAAAGCAGTTGCTGCTGTCTTTCAAGCCAGTAATGCAGAAGTTCCTCCATGATCACGTTAACCTGCAAGTCAGTGCACTGTATGCTCTGCAGGTGCACTGCAGTGCCAAGGGTTTCCCTAAAGGTGAGAGCTCACTGCTTTTTATTTATTTATTTATTTATTATTTGCACTGGTTTAATGTTCTACCTTGTTCTTGTTTAGGCATGTTGCTGCGCTACTTTGTGAACCTTTATGACATGGAGATAATTGAGGAAGAATCCTTCCTGTCATGGAAAGAAGATGTCAATGATGAGTATCATGGGAAAGGCAAAGCATTATTCCAGGTAAATTTACTTGCATTGTTTTTTCCAGCCTTTCACACTGAATTGTCTGCATTAGACACTCTGCTTTCCTTTTAGTAAGTGGTTATTGATCATATTTTCATTGTAGGTGAACCAGTGGCTGACCTGGCTGGAAACGGCTGAAGAAGAGGAGTCTGAGGATGAAGATTACTGAGAATAAGGCCAAAGCCATGTGTTATCTCAATGCAACAAGTGATTATTGTYGTGGTGTTGGATTTTTTTTTCTTAAATCTTTTTAACCTTCGTCTTTGCCTCAATTGTTACTTATTATTCTACAATGAAATGTTTTGCCAAATCTAAAGTTTCAGTGTTTTACTGCATTTTTTTATTTTCCAATTTTCTATCCTATTTAATGTCTAGCAACAATATTATAAACATTTAGCTCTTTTTTTGGTTCATGTTTAACAGTAAGCAGTATTTCAGGGAAATTTGTCACCATTTCCCCCTGGTCAGTTACCAGGTGCTACATAATTTCCTTGAACTGTTTACAGAAGAACAAATGCTTTTCCTTATTCTGTTTCCTACTTTTGAAAGTTTTAGATGCACTTTGCTTAACATCATGAGTTGCTGCAATCGTGAAAATTATTATCCAAACTCTAAATTACCTAAAGTTTTTTTTTTCTAATTTGAATCTTTTTGCTTTTAAAATTACAATATTTTTTTTTCTCAGTCTGGTTTTAATAGTTGACAGTCGTGGCCAATATTCTTGCACATTTTCCCGCATTTAGTTGAATGACTTAAGAGCTCTGTTTTTAAATGTGTGAAATGTTTCGTGGTGTGTGGAATCAATCTGTGTGGCCTTTTTTTAATTTATCGATTCATATGGATATACCTCTGAAGTGGCTGACTATACTTGAATGTCTTGATTTTGACATTGAGACAGCCAAAGCTCTGCTACGGTTGTTCACTACTAAAATCATGTTGTTTGCAATATTTGTAAAGTTATTAAAGGTTTTTTTTTTAATTATCCTCCTCGTCAAATAGCAAAGAATGTACTGTATGTGTACACTTGTACCTTCTCTTAAGGTCTCACTGTAACGTGTACAAGTACAGATCAACTTTGAATAAAGTTTGACTGTTTAATTCTTTGTTTTGTCATTAAGTTAGTCGTGTTAATTTAAAGTTCATTAAGGATTTTGGTATTTACATGAAAATTGTGGTTTTAAGAACATGATTTAAATAGAAAAAATACGTCTTGGAAGTTTTATTTGAAATATTTGAGCCAATGTCAAGTGGAAGAGTGACATTTCATGAAACATTTTTCCATCTTTGAGTTAATCTCATTTGACCATGAGACATCTGTCCAGCTGTTGGTCAAAACAGGTCTTTAAAAACAAGAGTTCCAGTAGAATATAAACAACATCTCAAAACAAAAACTTTCCTAGCCTAAATGTGAGGTACTAACACAGACATGAACCTCTGATAGAAAAGAAAAGTAAATGAATTTGTGATTTAATCACTGTCCTCTTCGTTGTTGGAGGCCTGTTCTGATCCGTTGTCAGAGCGGCGAGGGGAGCCCTCGTCTGACCCGGCTTCAGAACCTCTGTCTGACGCTGCGACAGGTGATGCGGCCCTCGACTCGTCCGATCCCGACTGACTCCTCTTGCTTTCGTTGTCCGACTGTTCCGAGTCCGACTGTCTCTGTACCCTCCTCTTCTTCACAGGCGTGTCGCTGCCCGACTCGTCATCCTCTGAGCCCGCGGAGCGCCGAGGGCTTCCCGCTTCACTGCCAGAGCTTTTCTTTCCACCGTCCGASTCGCTGTCGGATGCTATACGCTTCCTGTGGCCGCCGCCGCCGTCTTCATCATCAGAACCTGAGCCATTGTCTTGTTGTCTGTTTGAACAAAGCGGACATGTAAACACTTGTGTTTTATATTTATGGTGCTTCTAGTGGAAAATCTTACCTATCTTCAGCTATTTTCAGTCCATCCTCATCTGATGAGGAGTCTGAGGACGAGATGATGGCCTTAGATTTGATCTTTCCCTTAAGAGACGGTGGCATACGCTCAGGCTGGGGCTGAAATGAAAACAAATTYAAACTTGTAACTACACAGTCTTTAACCTCTACCACGGGCACCTGCACTTCCTGTTTTCTATTGTCATTTAAACATGTTTGGTCCGGCCGTTCTGTGGTATCCACAGAAAATCCAGAATCTCGGCTAAAAGCTCATAAAAACATTTCTGCGTCCACCAAACGGTTAAAAACACAAGCAGCTGAACCAGGAAGTAAACAAATTGTACAAAATTGCATCAACGCAAATCTGTAAACAGGTACATTAGAGAAAACCTGCAAAAATGTTTTTTTTTTTTTAGAAATGCAAGTCAAAGCAAATACCAATATYCGCTCTGAAGTGTTTAGAAAAGTTTAGATTTTGAGTAAATCCTCTCCAGTTGGAGTATCACCTCTCATTCAATACGAATAACAAACATGTGGGTAATTAAAAAAATAATTAAAAGTAAATCTTTTCAGGCATGTAAATAAAAAGAATACATTTTCCAATTAACAACCTAAGATTTCTTAACATTTCTTGATGGCACTAACATGGTCCACGTGGAATAAAAAAAAACGTCTGAAAAACAAGAATATAAATATTTACTACCTACAAACCTGGTGTCATTTAAGATACCTCTAATTWAAATTATGACTAGTCAGAACAAAAAGTGAGATACCTCAAATTTACTATATGACTAGTCATAATTTAACTGGTGATATCTGACGTATGTTTCAGGTAGTCAGTAATTTACTGCAGACATCTTGAATTGGAGACTGATGTATATCGATTGTAGTTTTTTTTAAAGTCTTATCACCGTTATTTAAATATTTTTATTACAATATATATTAATACTGAATTATTGTCCAGCACTAGTCAAATGCAAAAAAACCTTCAGGCAAAAGAAAAAGAAAATCTTTTTTTTTTTTGTTCCATCCTCACTGTGTTTGAAACAATAGCCGCTGCTTTGATGCCTACACTTCTGGTGAAATCTCTCAAGTGTTAAAATTATTTTGATACCAAGATTATTTAAATAGAATTTGTAAATGCTGAGACACAATTACACCCTGGCACATTATTATTAGAGGACAATAACCAGAAAGAGCAGCAGCATGATTTAAAACAAACCCTCTCCATCTTCTTGCGCCCTTCTTTGGGTCTGCGCTGCTTCCTCGGTCGAGACTCTCCGTCCTCGTCATCGCTGTCATCCCTTCCTTTCGCAGGTCTGAAAACACAGGAAAGTTTTATGGACTCTCCCCGCTGCTCAACAGAAACAGATTCAGCTGGTCCTGCAGCGAGCTCACCTCCTTCGCTTCTTTTTCTTCTCTCCTTCCTCGCCATTCTCCTGCTCGCTGCCGCTGTCCCTTCTCTTCTTCTTCCTCTGCGGCAGGTCCTCGTCAGAATCGTCGTTAACAAATTCGTCCATGTCGCCTCCTTTCTTACGCTTGGAGGTAAAGGAGACAGMTTATCCTCAATGAACTGGGTGTAAGCTGAATGTTTATTAGGAAGGTGCAGCTGAAGGGTAACACTCACACGTCCGCCACCTCCCTTCTTCTTGTCTTTGGAGACTTCTTTTGGTCCGTCTACGAAGGTGAGCAGGTTCTTGGTCTTCTCCACAAACAAAGCTCTCTGCTCCAGGAGCTTCTTCTGCTCCTCTGCTTCTCGTTTTTGCTTTTCTTCCTAAACATTTACAAGAACAGAAAGKTGTTAATGCAATGAAAACCAAATAAAACAGAATAAAACTGGTTTGATGTTATTTATGGGGTTTAGTGATGGTGAGATCAAACAGCACCTGTTCTTTTAGCAACTGTTGGCGCAGCAGGTCCCTCTCCTGTTCTTGTTTGGCACGGAGCTCCTTCTCCTCTTCATCCTGCTTTCTGGCTCTGGCCACATGGTACTGAGCCTGACTCAGCAGGTCAGAGCACTGCCTGGGTTCCCACACAAATCAAAATCCACATTTTACTGCAACACACTAAAACAGCTCCACAAGAGAGCCGTGTCAACACAAGCACAGAAGAAACTAAACGCTGGCACTTATGTGGATATTACTTTTTCTATCCTCACAGGTAGAAAAATATTCCTTTTGTTGTTGCTAAGATGTATAWTTTTAGTGAATATCATTTTGTTCTYTTGTGTGAACACAGAGATATGTAGCGTTTGTTATTGTGACTTTCAGAAAAAATTGATCAAACACTCAAAGRTACTTTTTATTGTTGAAAACAGTTTTCCTGATGAAGGTCTAGACACTGAAATGTTGCAAAAAATTAAAAAAATAAAATCAATCTGCAAGTTTAACCAAGTCCAGGAGTTTTATTCTGTAACTATAGCRGAAGATAATCACAAAGCAACTAAAAATCAGAGTTGTAAAGTAACAAAGTACAAATACTTTGTTACTGTGCTTAAGTAGAATTTTTGGGTATCTGTACTTTACTTGAGTAATTATTTTTCAGCCTACTTTTTACTTTTACTTCTTACATTTTCACACATTTATCTGTACTTTATACTCCTTACATTTTTTAAAAAGGCAAGAAGTAGAAAGTCGTTATTTTAATTTAACTTAGCTTGTTTTTATTCCAGCTTGTTAT